CTAACTTCATGTTCGACTTAATGCATTTTTTAAAAATAAATAAATAAATCAACGGCCAAAAGGTATTTTCAGCCTGTTGCATTTGGGATATTTTCTTTTGAAAGTGTTGCAAAATATAGACGACCTTGCAGGCGGGCTCTTAGAAGAGAGTGGAGACGTGATTTAAATGGAAACCCCGGTGGGCTCAGTGCTGGACAGGAAAGCAGGATGCAGTGTGGTGTGATTGACGCGATTCAGGATTGTAATATTGATCGATGGGTGGAAGCTGTTGGATGAAATAATGGTGTTTATGGGGGCCTACCAGAACGCTATTAAAGAGATACTGGTAAAACTCCAGCAAAGCACCTTGAACTGTCCTCAGCGGAGGTGCAAAGATTATTTCAGAACCACGGACAGCACCTGCACTGAGCAGCAGCGTCTGCAGAGAGGTCAACATAGCGCCACGATTCAACTTGAAAACTTCCCCCCGGTGATTACTTCAATGAGAAACCGATTAGTCAAAATCTGGAAACTGATTCCTGAATAAAAACCAAAAAGGAAAATACACTGATGTTACCACGTATTTAACAATTTAGTGATTGCTGCAGCACACCATGATTTGCATTTCAGGACCGCAGACAGCGCTGGCTGCATTTAACGCTCCTCCAGCTGCTTCTCAGGATATGGAGATCCAAAAGTGCCACAATTTAACAAAAAAAGAAATCACTGCATATTCACCTAAGCTCACAAACAAATTTGGGAACAAATGCACAAATAAAACTTTCAAAACTGCATTTAATGTTAAGTTGTTGGGTATCTGTTTTATTGTTGCTTGTTGCAGCACTTCATGAGTTAATTTGATGAGCTGCCTTACCCATCAAAATCTGTGTGTGGCTCGCACTGCTTTGATGAAGAAAATGCATTGGCTAATCAGAAAATTATCCATAAATTTGTTAAACCCTGGGGAAAAAAAATACATGTCTTTAAGACATAATTCAGAAATTGAATGTGCAACTAATAAAGTATTGTTGTGCTTCTGAAACAAAATAAAATAATGCATTGACTCAATTTTTTTTTGTATTTTGTCTTTTTTGGACATCAGTTTCACACTAAGACACATGTTGGTTTTATTTGCAGAGTGTTTCATTTTAAAAGTTTCATTCGAAAGCTCAAAACAAAATGGAGGTGGAAATCATCTCAAATTATGACCACCATCTGCTTGGCTTTTTCCGAAAATGTGAACCTGCCGTTTGCATGCAACACATGCACACAGTGCTGGGAAGAAAGAGTGCAGGTGGAGGGGCTGAGTAAAGTATTAGTATTATGCCTGGATTAAGCCTGTGCAAACTGCTTGTAGTCCATTGAAACATGAGAGAGGCCTCCCCACCCCTTATTGTCCTCCATGTTTTTTCTCTGTGTCCTGAGGGTCTTGACCTGCACACCCTAGCACGTGCTGCAGCCATTCAGATGGAAATTAACCTATGCTGCTCCTTTTTTTTTTTTCACCCAACCCTTTCTATTATCCCCAGGAAGAGTCGACTTGACATGCCACAACATGTACTCCCTTCAAATATCAAAATCTGCTGCCCTTAAAGATGGATATGGCATTACAGCATGTCGTGTTTTATGTGTGGAATTGACGCAGGATGGAGGTAAACAAACTACCAAGATGTCCCAACTAGTGAACTGCACTCAACAGACACAACCTGATTAAAACAAAGAAAAAAAGGTGTGCCTTAAAAAAAAAGAAAAAAAGAAAAGAAAAAAAAAACAGCTGTCCCCTCTCCCACAACCTTTTCCAGCTCCCACCTCCCTCCTCCTCTCTCTGCTCCAGGGGAGAGACCAATGGGTGAGAGTGCTGAGGCGGGATAATTGATAGATGCACTGGCTATCCTTATTGATCAGGCCTGTATTGACCTGACCAAATACATTGAGATGGAGTGTGGAATTCAACACAGATGCAAAGACGAATTGTTTTCATCATTAATGCGATCTTTAAACGCCTCCCAAACCTCACCTTTTCCTGTCTCTTTCTCTCTCTCTTACACATACAGCTTCCAAATAAGCTGTTTGTTTTTAAAACTGTTTATACTCCACTGCTCTGAGTATTATGGGAACAGTCACACCGCTGGTATATTTTCTAAAACTGCGAGGCACGTCTCTCCCCTCACTGATTCAATGTGAAGGACACGAGATAAGCCCCCCAAACAGTGCCCATATCTCTGTTCTGTTTTCCTTTCAGGAGTGGATTGTCATTTGAGTGTGTGTGTGCAGACACTGGCATTTTCACATTAGCTAAGCAGGGCAGCTGTATTGATTTGTGTGACTGTGATGAATTTGGAATAGTAATTTGAATTTATTGATTGATGTGGCTGAGCGAGTATGGCCCAGCCTCACTTTCAGCAACACAACCCCACCTCCCCCTTCCAATCCCCTCTAACTCCCACTCCCAGCCCACATGTGCTCTGAGGGATAATTGTGATTTTAAATGCAGTAAGTAAAATGTAGCTCCCGACATTTGCATAAGAGTCATTTGTCATTTCGCCCAACTGGAGTTTCCCTGAGATCTGCTGTGGTGGCAGGGTGATGCACAATAGGGTGTACGCTTAAAACCTGCAGCAAATCGGGAGGAAAGTTTCAGGGGAGATAATTGATTACAAGCATGGCCAGCGGATCACATTAAGCTTAAAGAGGAGGCCACACGTATGGAGGGTCAGATGTGCCACAATTCAGCACAAAAATGTTCCATAATACTATATGAAAATAACCCATTAAATAGTACATTTGTTGAAATTGGAAGTAAAGGAATATATGTGACATTTTGGCATGTGCAATTTACTTAAAAAAAAACAGTATTAATTATTTCAAAGACTACTTTTGTAGCAGATCATATACTTTACCCATTCAGTCGATGGGCGAGATTAACATTTGTCTAATGAAAATGATTGACCAAAAGTAGATTTATTGAGCAGGTTAACCAGTCAATTGTTTCAATCTTTTGACAAGCAGCAAAAATTGTTTAATTTACTTCTTAGAAGACACAGGGACATCTCCTGAAAGTTGCGCAAGGGACACGTAGATGGAATTGGAGAGGGGGGCACTAAAACCAAATGCCATAAAAGCTTTCAAAAAATTTCAGGAGTATTTTGTTTTAGATATGTTGCTATTGGCAGCTCGTAAAATTTGAGCGCAATAAAATAAAACACTCAGTCTGTTTAGTATTTTTCAAGCACAGTTTTTGCGTTCATGTCTTCAAGTACCTCCTTATCAAAAACATCATTTCTCACCTGCTGCAAAAAATGTAAAAGAGTACTGAAATTCCTAATTTCTTAAACATGTTGTTCAGGAATAATCTGAGTTTGAAGTCAGGCATTCACCTAATCTTGGGGGGGAGGGAAGGAAGCATACCCAGTGGCACACCTGAATATATTGCAGCGCAGGTGCTGTAAAGCAAACAAACGGCCAAATATTCATTGAATTTACGCCACACCTAACAGGGTATTTATTTATTTAACAACAGGATCGTGGCACATCTGGCTTTCCATATAATTTGAGAAAACAAAAACAAGGGGGTGGGATATTGCTCTTACGCCTTTAAGAAGGCCTCAGTTCAACCACATTGAAATATGCAGTAGGTGTGCACTTGCACAGCTCTGTTGCTTCAGCTGAACCGGAGGTTTTATCCTGATGCCGCCAGTGGAAGATATAAAACCCCACAGCCCAATTAGCTTTAACAGCAGTGGCACTTAAAGAGACAATTGTGGAGTGTTTAAATCTTTATTTACCAGAACCCCCACTAAATACGCAAAGGAACAATTTACATGCCATTAAGCGCTTTTCAATAGGGCATTGACTGGAACTAAAATATGCCACTATATCCGCTTAATTGAACTGTTCGCTGAAATACGGCGGAGAAGCGCTGATTGACGTTTGGAGGCGCTGCTCGTCTAAACAGGGGTCTTTACACAAACATCGATGAGGAGGGGGGGGGACCTTTCACTCACATCTCCGTGGCTTTTTCGTTTTTTCATTTATGTCCTGTTAATCAGGTGTTAAAAGGGGGGGTTAAAGCGAGGGCGGGGTCGCGTGGGTTTCAAATCACAGTCTTAATGTGATAATCTTTGCGCAAATAAAAATCGAAACGACTGATCAAGGAGTGAAATCAAAACGGCGAAGCATTTGTTTGAGCTGGTAAGGAGGCGACATTGCTTCACGCGAAAAAGAAACAGCGGATACGTGTTTATATTTATTTGGCAGCAGAGTGACCACGCAGGCCCTTAAATCAAATTTGGAGAGTTGATGTCCCAAAAGTGCACATGGGACACAGCGCAGGGCCAAAGAAAGACGCATCTGTTTGTGTCTCTGCCTTTCAGATCCGAATCGATCCTTTATCAGTGCGCTACACTGAAAGGGGACGCCTGGACCTGAAATATCGATCCATAAGAGGTCACGCTCCCTCTGGCTCTGGCCAGGCCTCAGACTGCACCCTTGTTTTTTGACGGCTGCTACATTATTTGATCACGTTTATTTTACTTTATTAAAGCTTTTTTCAGCAGTCAAAAATCTGCACCTCAGGTTAAAATTGACGTTGTTTGGCCCTTTTGTCTGCGTGGGGGTTGCTTATTAGAATGTGTGCGTAGAAAGGAAAGAAGGAAAAAGTCACATGCGAGTAGAACATGTCCCAGTCTGAGTCCGTGCGTAAAAGTGCTGCATGTGCGCCAAACCAAGCTGGTCTGCAGACTGCGGTCGCACATGACCCGATTCTTTTGTTTATCACCAAGCGTGTGTTTGTACAGTCGTGGATTGTGGCATCAATCAAAATATAGACTCCCCCCGACCCCCAACCCCCCTCACACCCCCACAACATTTAACACTCCAACTGTCATGATGAAGTTTTACTCGATACGATCGACTAATAACTTCAAGTAATGTCTGTTTGAGCAGCTATTGGCAGTCTCGCCACATTGACTACAGATTGATCCCTCCACATCACTCAGGTTGGGAGCTGTCTCCTCACTCACCTGCAAGCCTGAGCGCTGACATCCGCTGGAACTCGGGCTCCTGCAGCCACTTCCACATCCTCCTGAACGTCTCCCGGCCGGATTTGAGTTTACTCCACGGTTTAGGGTTCCGCAGCAGGTCGGACAGAGTTCCCTGGGACCGACACAAGATCCTCTGTGCGAAGATGGCCTGCGGAATGCTGTAGCGCTTGAGCTCCGCCGTTATCCGCTGTGCCACTTCCTTGGTGTTTATCTCCTCCACCTGTCCCGACCCGGCTCCCTGGCCTCCTCCCACCACCGTCTGCCTGTCCCGGTCCGACAACATGGATCCGTTTGCCTGAGAGTGCGGATGGCTGTGATGATGGATGCCGTTCAAGGACGTCATGAGCCCGGCCCCGTGGCCCCCGAGACCTCGGGCCAGGTGCTCCTCGCCCCGGGACAGCATTGCTGCATGGGACTCGAATCCCCCCGATGAAAGCATCTTGTCGTTAGACAGGTGAGCTCCAGGACCGTAGGCGCTCAGGGTCTGCTGCGAGCCGTGCAAGGACCCGAGACCGTTGGAGAGCGGGGACAGGGGCTGACCCATACCGGACATGTCTTTGGGGTAGTGGCCGTAGAGGTTACTCATGGAGGCGAGACTGCGGTCGTCCCTCATCAGGGTGAAGCTGCCGCTGACGTTCCCAGCCGCGAGCCGCTGGTGCGCCGGGTGATGGTGAGCATGCGGGTGAGGGTGGTGAAATTTCTCCGATACCGTGGATATGGGGGGCAGGTGCTGCAGCGGCGTCAGCGTGGTGTAGGTGCTGCTCAGGCTCATCCCGGAGTCGCAGGACATGGTCATGGCCGGGTGCAGGGGCCCGGACAGAGCGTGGTCCGTGCGGTAGTCCCCTGCTCCCTCCAGTATGGAGGCCATGCTGGACACCATGGCTGACCGCCCGTGCGACACCAAGTTCCGATGCGACGCCGACGACTGGCGCGCGTGCGGGGCGTTCATTAAGTCGCCTGTCTGATGAGAGTGAGACACGCCGTGCAGATTTCCGATGTTCTCCATTGTAAGCTCCATCGCTGAAAGGATCTTTATTTCCACCCCTCTCTCTCGCCGCTCTCTCCCTCTCCCCGCTGTCGCTCTGTCTCACACTCCTTTCCCAATAAATTTTCAACGATTTCAAAGCCACGCCATTGATTGCAGCTGCTTTCTCTGCGGTCAATCCAGCATGGTTTTAAAAGATCGCCACACACACACACACACACAAAGAAAACCCCGCGCCGCCAAAAAAGCCTCAGCTCGGTGTGTGGAGTGTCTGCGCCTGCCCCGGATTACTCTTACTCTTCAGCACCTTCTGCTATACCCAAAGCGCTGCTCTGCTCGGCTCGGCTGTGTGTATATCGACGCGCCCCTCTCGCTCCTGTTAAGTCGAGACCGAGTCTGTGCGCATGTGCGCGCCCCCGCGGGCCGTGCATCCTCGCTCTCGTCTCTCTCGGTCTGGGGGCCAAGCTGACGTCACTGACCCCCTCCCCTAGCCTTCTCCCGCCCGCCCCGGCCCCCCCAACCCAGTGTCATGCGTTTTGTTGTTCATGTTGCATGTTCCCGAGAAAAGATTGCATTAGGCTCGTCAGATAAAAAACACAAAAGTGCAATCTTTTGCAGAGTATGCAACATTTGCACTCAGGTGGATAAGAAGGTCTCGCTCCTTGTTTTCTGCGATAAAAGGCGCCAGAAACGCATGTGATTTCTCTGTTGACGGTTAAATATTAATTGATGATTCACACCAAGCCAACAAGTGTGATGAGAAAATGGACTCAAAAACCACCATGTATTACTAAGTTGTTCATCACTATTTTCTGTCCTCCGGCGAAAATTATTGCATAAAATCGGCAGAACTTCATTCCATCATAGCCTCTAGGCTTTGACCCCTCTTCTGCATCTCGTGTGTGTTGGGATTGGCTGAGACCACCGAAGTCAAGCTGTGCTCGCAACAAACTTCTCACGCACCTTATTGCAAACTTCTTGCATGAAACCCGCCGCTCGCTCATGTCAATCCAGTTCAGCCATCCATCAGTGTCAGAGTGCGTATGGATCAGGAGCCGCGTCAATATAGGTTGGTGCGGTGCCTATTGCAGGAGCCCCGGGTATATGGGTGCAATACAGCATCTCGCACGTCCAAGATCGAGGGATTGGATTTGGTTGTGTGAGTCGTCTTGGAGTGGAAAGTAAGAGCGTAAACTTCATCGAGGTGGTCAAAGAGTTTAGAGAACTAGCTAGAGTTGTATTTATTCATTTGTTTTTTGTTTTTTTGTTCATTCAATATTGCTTTTGCTTCCAGTTGATTTAAATTCAAGGCAGTAGTACCACCAACATCCTTATGATTTATTTTATTCTCATCAAATCCAACAATCTGAAGTTTGCTTCAAAGACCTCATAAAAGGATTAAAGGCTTCAACCATGTAAGATTCAAAAGTATCATTTTGATTTTTTAAAAAGCCCCAAAATGAGCACAATTTAACCAAAAGCAAAATAATATACAACCATCAGCTTTGCTGTACAATTTACTAAAGTTGTTATTTTTAGGTATAGGCCAAACACTTATTTATGTAGCCTATTTGTTTATGTATTTATTCGTGTGTCATTTCTTTGCAGTCAAGGGAACAGTAGAGTGGGCCTGGTTGCCTTAGAGTGTTGGAGCAGATTTGCTCTACACAAGAAAGGAAAGAGGAAATAACACAACGGCCACTGTGTGAAATCAAAGTCTCAAGAGAAAAGCATCAGGTTCAGGTAACAGGTCAAAATAAAGAGACAAAAAAATTGGGGTTGTGTTGGGAGTGTTGTGCAGTCACGATGATGATGATGATGATAATGATGATGAACAAATCAGCAAACATTTGATACAAAAATGTGCAATTTTAAATGTGCACTGTTTGTGTTTATGGAGTTGTATTATAAATATCAAATAAATCACTTACTGTGTCAGCTTGTGGGCATATTCATTTACAAAAGACTAGAATTTGATGTTTATTGGCTATTACAACCCGTGAGTCAGGAATTAATGCTGTTTGTGCCAATAACTGATTTTGCCAGTAGCATGGTAACAGCAAAAACATCATATGAAAAGTCTGGATTTATACTAACTGATGTGATTGTGGTAGTATTGGACAATACTACAGCCATCACATCATTTCTAATGCTGTGCAGCCCAATTCACATGTTAAAAGTGATGTGCAGTTAGGAGGTGTGGTGGAGATCTGACCTGGGAAGAAACAGCCACACTATGGTTAGACAGACGTGAAGGCATAATATATAGATATCTGTGTTTTTAATATGAATTTACAAGGAGTCGCAACAGTAATGCAATTTTGGTCTGTTTTGTCGTTGTTCATTCGTTCATGCATATAGTTCTCTGCGTCCATTGCTCACACACATTTTGAATGTTTGTCACTCTCTCCCATATCCTGCCACTCCACAGTTGGCACCAGGTTGCACTGGGCTTTGAGCACATTTTGATTTGTGAGCCCATTTATTTTAAACAACACTTACAAACTCCATTATGTGGCTGTAAATTAATCTGGGAAACAAGTTCATTCCTTACACTGAATTACTTAGTCTGTCAGGTGTGTGCCTGCCATGCCACTTTTGAATAGAGACTCATTAAAGTCAGGAAGAAGGTGCAAAGTTCAAATAGCTTCACAAACAAGAAATCACAGATCATATTTATGCTTGACTTTATATTAGTTTGAAACATATGGCTGAACTATTAAACTTGGCACTGACAAAAGCAAAATAAATTATTAAAATGGCTGGATTAAATTCTGACTGCTAGATGACTGTCAAACTATGGGATTTTTTTTTTCTCTGTAAGAACATTTTATAATTTAAAATAACTTTTTTAAAAAAGAGGTTCAAATTAGATTTAAAAATATGTCATGTTTGGTAAATATAGCTAAAATTTGAGGGTTTGAGATGAAATGTTTGTGAGATGTCGAGCAGCATCGTATTGCTGCCTGGCCAGGTGTGTGGTCGACAAAATACAAACTTCTGAAACTATTATATGGCCACTTATATAGTCGGTGTTGACGCCCCAACTTTATAAGCAGTCCCCTCCCACGAGGGAGACTGCTTCTTTGAAATATTTTCTGGATGCGTCCCAGTTGCTCTGCAAACTCACAACACGTTGGCATTCACACCGGTGTTGTGTAAAATGAACCCATTAGGATTTCGACCTGAAGCTGGGTTAAAAAAAGAACTACCCAAACAATCCGGGAAGTGCATCACTTATCATCTGCAAATTACATTTAAAAAAAACAAAAACAACCCTGATCAGTGTTTACCCACTGTTAGGTCACGGTCATCCATAACCTCACTGATGAATTATGATGTGGCTGGCCTTGGCACGCAGCTACTCTCCCACTGTGGATGACACTGGAAGTGTTCGCAGTGCTCGCTGATTGCCAACCGGGGGAAAGGTGGCTCTCCGGCTGTGGCATCGGGAGAACGGCAGTGTCCGCTTGGGTTAATGTCCCCCGTATTGATCCCGGCAACCACCGCTATCGAAAATGAATTACCGAAGCCCGAGCAGCAGCGAATCCGTCATCTGTGCTCAGCCAGCCGGCCACAACGAACGTATTGGTCGCGCTGGTGATGGATGTTAACTTTCACTGCCGCCTCTTTCCTCCTAATCCATCGGACTTGCAATAACCTTAAACGGCGCGCTGGAAAGCTTCGGACACTTCCTGCGCCACCTGTGCGTCTTTCTGTAATTTCTGTCTTATAAGAAGAATCACGTCACACGCGCGCGTGCGCGCGCGTACACGCACGGGGACATTGTACGATCAGGGTCAAAAGGGCACGGGGAACTGATCAAGGTCCTGCGTCAATTTTAAATCAATCACTGTTGAATCCACCTATGTTCTTGATCGAATCTTAAAAAGAAAATGAAATTTAAATGCAGCCGCCCCCCCATCAAACAAACACACACACACACACACACACACACACACACACACACACACACACACACACACACACACACACACACACACACACACACACACACACACACACACACATTTCCTATACGCCCAGAGCTCAGTTTTAATTTGTATTTTAATGCGCTGCTTTCAGATCCAAAAGAGCATATCCCATAGCAAATACAATATAAAATATTAACTTTGTCAATATCGCCGTTGTGAGTGGGGCGATGCTGCACAGAATGGAGATTAATTTCATATTAATAAATGCGAACCAGGACCATTTTGGCATCGACTTTGCTGTGATTGCGCGGCACACTGTGCGCGCGCTGCAGCGGCCTTGTTTATTACTCCAGGTTCTGCCTCAAAAGTTACAATGGATTTCTTTGGAAGTACATAGACGATTAACAACAAATTAATCCCTTCAAATAAGTCTTTTCATTATTGTTTGTTTTCGCTTTTTCCTCAAAGCGGTGTCGATCAAGTAATCAATGCCGCACCGATAGCTCTGCTCGGGGGTTTTCTGATGGCTCGACTGTGGCAAAAAAAAAAAAAAAAAAAAAAATCTACTGCGCATAAATTCCTCTATATATTTTAATTTTAATTCTTGAAGCAATTTTTAAAGCAGGTTTTTACTAGTGAAAGGAATGTGACAATTAATTATTTTTTAAATAGAAACAAGAGTCTTCCCAACTAAATCCTAATGACAATTATAATATAAATAACGATATGTGTTATATGTGTGTGTGTGTGGGTGTGTGTGTGGCATGCTGCGCGTGTGCAGCATTTTGTCTAATGCAAGTTGTGCACTTATTTTTTCATCCATTGTTATTATCATTCTGATTGTCCTCCCGTAAATGCAGAAACTATGTGTCCAAAAAATACGAAATGACAGTTAGTAGTGTCAATATGTGAATTCTCTGTTTAGGCCAAAATTGGCCAAATTGTCCAAAAAAAAAAAAAAAAAAAAAAAAAAAAGACATTTTCAAAGCTAAGTAGATGAAAGGACTGAAACTTGTATTTTGATGTCCGATGATTGGAGGGTAGTTTTAGATCAATTTTTTTCTTGAAAACTTTTCTTTTTTTTATTATTTTTTTTATTTTTTTAACTTCAATAATTTAATATCTCCCCACTGTATCTGAGCGAGTGTGTCCTCCGTCGGACGAGCTCCCCTGCTAAGCTCGTCTATGTTCCCAGGAATCACTCGATAGAGACAGACTAATCTTTTCATGACTTCTTGAATGACTCCGCGGCTGATGCATCACGCCTAATGTATTCTAAAGTATATTTACTTGAATCTGGCTATTGGCAAAAGTTAAGTAGCGGTGTTTAGTAATGTCGCATTGATCAGGCCTCTGAGCAAGTCAGCGGGACGAGGGCTCGGGGGTTGGAGGGGGTGGGTTGCTGCTCTCATCCCCAATCCACACACACCACAGCGTGGATCCT